ACGTGACTAGTCCACAACTAGTATATGATTTCTTACCTCATTGATTTCGAAGACTTCCTGAGCATCAAATCCGTCATTTGAGAGCTGTACATTTGAGGATTCATCATCAGAGAACTGGACTTGGTTGATAAGGGGGGTAGAAGCAGCCATTCTGACTAGTTGACAACTAGTTGTAGTCCTGTGAAATTCGGAAAGAAATTAAAGATGATGGATTGTAAACTGATAACTAGTGCGTATTTATTGACCGCCTGACATGACCGCTAGACAAGGCACGTGATTACCTAATTTGGAATAGTCACTTGACGCGGCGGTTACTAATCGCCTAATTTGGACTAGTCGTCTGACACAAATTTTGGCCCACCTCAAGCTGACCTAATTCCTCGTTCAGTGGAATCTAGGATAGTGAGAAGCCAACAGTAATTTATCTCGACTATTCCGTACTGTCAAACCACTTTCCATCCTATACAAACCATGTACATGTACTGCGGAACTCCGTACTCTGTATACAAGACTTCCGAACCACGCCGCCTTTCCCAAAACAGTAACCTGCAAAATTCCGACCCCTCGACCCCACCAAATTTTTTCCTCCATACAATTATTCTCCCATACAACCCAAGTAATTGCCCAGCACAATTCCTAACTGAATGCGACACTACACAGAACCCAGAATACATCGCGCGAAACCAGAAAACCAAGCAAAATGACCGGGGACAATGCAGACCACGACCACGACCACGACTACGATTACTACACAATCCTCAACCTCCCATTTACCTCCTCCGCGACACTCACGAAACAACAATTAAAGCTAGCATACCATCGCGCGTTACTGCGACACCATCCCGATAAGACGAATGCAAAGGAAGACCACCTCGCGCAACAAACACCAGACCGCGACAGCGATACCCAACCCACGAACGCATACACAATTGACCAAATAACAACAGCCTACAAAACTCTCTCCTCCCCCTCGTTACGCTCCGAGTATGATAGAGCACTACGATTAGATCGGGCAAAAATCGTCGAGCGCGAGAAGAACGGCACCGTATTTCATACAGGCCTCGAAGTCGTTGACTTGGAGGATCTTGTCGAAGACGACAGTGATAACAATGGGGAAGGTGTTTGGTATCGGGGTTGTCGGTGCGGTGATGAGAGGGGGTTTATGGTTACGGAGGGGGATTTGGAGAGGGAAGTTGAGGGGGGTGAGGTTGTTGTGGGGTGTCGGGGGTGTAGTTTGTATATGAAGGTGCTTTTTGCGGTTGAGGATGGGGAGGGGACTTGAGGGTGGAGGGATGTCCATGTGTGGTTTCGCTTTTTGCTCGTGGTGCCATGGAATCCATGACACATGTGCATGCGAAGCCATGAGTTCTTGTTGTCTGTGGACAATGCAGAACGTGGTGATTGTCATCGTACAGAATACTTCTGTGCTCCGTCGCGAATGTTCGACATGGACGACCTTCAGTCGCTGGGAGCACCAGAAGCGTGTTGCTACGTGGACGCCATGTTCCACCATCTACATGTGCCCGGAAGCAGCACAAACATGGACACCGGGACTTCGGATCGAAGGATACATGGCTACGGTACTACAGATGGACCCACGTTGAAGGACTTCTGCAGCGACGCAGTGCCACACCCTCGAGGTGTCAAGGGTCTCGCAGGACTTGGGGAACAACTCCGGGTCGCGATTCTACGACATTGGTAGCGCTTACAGCAGATGTGATAAAAACAAGCTGCCAGGATACTGCATTTTACCGGTAGTCTTTGAGCAAGACTCACCAGGCTGCGCGAAGAACACTCTATGTGCCAACTTCGCTTGAGTGTATCCTCTGGGGTGCGGTGGCACAGTAAAGCTGGTTCATCGACTCTGGAGCTATAGCTTGGGTACTAGAATGTGAATGATGAGGAAGGGCTCTGAGGGAGGATAGATATTCACTTGACCGTTCCTACTATTTTTCTTCGTCTTTGCTTCTATAGATTCTCCAACCAAATAGATGATAATTTTCAATCCAATCCAAAGCTCTTCCTATCTACGTTCATGCTACTACAAACATCTACCTACTTGGTAGATTTGACCTTTCTAAGCAGCATCCAGCAAAGTCACGATGACCGCTATGAAAAGATACTATCAAACAAACTCAGGACTCTTAGACGAATCATATCGTCTATCGTCTAGTGACACGCCGGCCGCCGCGTTCACTTTGCAGACTTCCAGGTCTACATGCCAACGGCCATAGCTCAGATACCAATGTGCCAGACAACATTGGTACAATCCCAAAAGCTCTCTGTTTTCGGGATCCCTACAAATCAATTTTCAAACGAGTTCCAATCAGCTTTCCCGACTTCTGGACCAACACTCAAAATCAGAGTGTTGAGAAAAGCCCCCCCAAAGCTCCCCAGCCAACCAAGCTTTTTTCGATTGGGATCAGGTGCTCGTTTGATTAGCACGGCTGCACACCTTACATACATGGATTTTGGAGAGGATGGTAGCCCTCAGGAACGAGGACGTCATTTAAACTTTCCAAAGTATATCAAATGCCAATTCGGTATTCCCTGCCCAGTGTGTACTGGCTAACTGTGTGGCTTTGACGACAGCTACTTGCAAGCCGATAGTTGCTTCGTTTTGATATTGCTTCCGGATGGTTTTGTTGTTTGGTCCGGGTTTATCCTGTTCTGTCCTGGTGCTCGTTGGGAGTTTTCACGCCGTCCGAGCTTGTGCTCGATGAACTCCCCCAGTTTACATGGCGCAGGTGCTGGGCATATGGAGTATGGTTGCTGTATCTTTATTTATTCAAGGGTGACATACTACCATTCACACCATAATGAAAGACCTATGAGATTTCTGCAGGCCAGAGAAATACTCCTACGATAAGGCCTTACAGGGATTTACCCGGGGAAGAACCTACCGTGACCTGCGTGAGAAGGTCAGGAATACTTGAACAATATCCATCAAGCTCGACACGGACGGCGGCTGCTTGAAGGAAATGATTATATCTGGCAAAGGAAACAAATATGTCGACAGCATGCAATCCTCGGCAGCTCTTCTGTTACATCTTCCAACAACGAAGGCTTATCCCTGGTTCATGATGACCAGAACAACAAGTGCTTTACGAGAAAACAAGAACGAGGATCATCCTTCGACATCCTTATACGCACAAGAGAGTGAAGATCGCTTTACTGGCTCCAGCATCATATATATATTCCTTTCAAGGAGACAGACCTCTACCCCTGGTACTATTTTGGAACTGGTGTGCCCGATTCCCACGTAGTGTATGAGAAATTGACAGAGATGGAGAGAGCCAGTAACACGAAAGCTCCTTCCATGCAATGCTGCAAAGGACATTTACAACTGATTAGGGCTTCTTGGAAGTGTTCTCCAAACCGACAAGATCCCTTCCGACAATGGCTTATCTGCAATTTATATTGATCAAACGATAAGCGATTCTCGATTGTTTGGGGAATAGCAGAGGTAGAAGAAGCTGTCATCCTCACTTTGCCAATGTCCTTGATCGGTTGCCTTCTGACCAACTCTTAGAAAGAAAATGATCGAAATAGTGCAAGTCATCGTATACAAGCTTCCCCTACATGATCCGCGCCATGTAAGCTGGCGTCTCCAATTTTCGGTCCCCTGCCTTCTTGTGCACACCTACTGGACTTGTGACACTTTTTATACTCCTCGAATGCAACAACCTTGCCCTAACTCGCGCAGCGAGCCCAGGATTCCTTAGCCAAAGCTAGACCAAGATGATCGAGAAGCCCCCGATATATATTGAGTGGCAATTGAAGCGCATTAGGAACGCAATCAAAAAGATCCCCCCCTTGAGCACGCTTTTACAATAGCCACGAGCTCTTCCAATAATGGCTCTAAGATAAGACAGGGCAGATGAAAAGAAAATGCGATAATCCCTTTTTAACTCTCTCAGCATAGAATTTGCTTCTCTTTTAAGATACTTGACATGATGCATGTCATCATAGGTGCTGAACCTAGCAAACTCAGAAACGTACATGGTGATGCAAGGATGCAGGGATTTGTTGTGAGTTATTGCTCTTGTATTTTCATGGCCTATGGAGTGTAACCTCCTTTTTCTCGGCCATAGCACTGTTGCTTCTGTTTATGAGACAAGGAAGGAAAAAGGATTATTGCGTTTCACTATGGAGCTGGGTAGACTGCGTCTACGAAGCCACGACAGCAGATGGGCAGGATATACTGCTTTTTTCCTTCATTGGGATGAGATGGTTTTGTCTACCTGATTCATCTGGGCCAGATGATGATTTTGATTTTTGTTAAATGGTTTGTCCTATATAGCATCGATATAGCATACGACATACGGCAACCAATCGAAGAAAAACTTATTGATGATGTCCATCCGTAACAATTCCTACGCTGGTACTACCTGCACGCTCTGATCATCCTAACGTCCTAAACCCGAATAGAGACGAGATCACTTTCATATTCATCATTAGATTTAGATTTAGATAAAAAAAAAAAAATCACCACCAACCCCCTACCCCAATCCTAGTTTCTACATCCCAAAGCTCAAAGCCGAAAGCAAGCTCACAGCTTCCCATCCCTCAAAAACCCATTAGCCTTAAGCCAGCCCGTAGCATCATCCCGGTCACGCTTAAGCCAGTGCACCTTAGCCCGGATAGCATCCAGAGTTTGCTCGACGGCGCGGTCGAAGCCCTACACACGTTAGCACCATATCCCACTAAATGAATAAATAATGTAAGGGAAGGACATACCTTAGTATCCTTACTCTCAAAGAAAGTCTGCACATCCTTAAGCTGCGCCTCAGTGCAGAAGCTAGATGTGCAAAGCTGCACAACAGTACCCAACATACCCAGACCAGGCGGCAGACGCTTATACAAAGTATCCCAGTTATCCTTAACCCAGTTCCAGCGCGCCTCGATACCGGGAACGTGGCTGCGGAGTCCACCAAGAGGCATGTAGATATCCTGGTTCTTGACCTCGTCGCCGGAAGCCAGGCCCAAAGTGCGCTGGATGAGGGCCGGGTCTTCGGCGGCGCCCAGGCAGCGCAGCGCGGTTGTCTTTTCGTCCGAGGTGGGCGCGTTGCGGAAGCGGTCGTAGACGACGTCGTATTCCTTGGCGCCGCCGTGCTTGAGGACGATTGTGAAGACGCTGCCGCGGATGTTGGGGTGGATGGCGCTGAGGTCGCCGGCGGCGAATTTGGCGAACATGTCCTGGGCGGCCTTGATCACGGTTGGGTCTTCGGCGGAGCCGGCGCTGGCGAACATGAGGGCCTTGAATTGTTGGAGGATGTGGCCATCTTCTTCGGAGAATGTCCAGCCGAGCTCGTGGGCTTTGGTGGCGACCAGCGAGCGCTGGAAGGCCTTGAGGGCGTCCTTGGTCTGGGTGTCTTCGAACAACCAAGCGGCGCGCACAGTGCCAATGCGGGCCAGGATCTCGTTCCACACGACGAACTCGGACTCGCTGTCGAAGCCCTTCAGGAGCGACAGCAGACCAGAGGTGCTCTGGTAGCCCGAGGCAGCAAGAGCACCAGAGTCCGCGATCATACCAGCACGGTCCTCGACGGTCAACAGTCCCTTTCTGGCAGCCTCGCCAAGCTTGGCGAGACGCTCAGGGCTGTACGAAGCACGGTAGATGGCAGAGTGGTCAGCGTTGAGCTTGAAGAAATCAAGGTCAGGAACCTTGAACTCGCTCTCGCGCTCCGTCAGCATCGTCTCCTCGTCGACACCCTGCTTGGTACGCAGGCCCAGCGAGATGGGGTAGAGAGTGGTGTCCTCTTCCGGTCGAACATCGCCCGTACGCAGGAAGCGGTTCTGCTTCAGCTTGATCGACGACGATTCGGGGTTCTCAGTGACCGAAACGACAGGGAAACCAACGTGCTTGGTCCAGATGTCCATGACAGCCTGCACAGGCTTGCCACTGGCATCAGCCAAAGCACCCCAAAGATCGCCAGTCTGGGTGTTTCCGTAGGCGTGCTTCTTGATGTAGTTGCGGACACCCTGAAGGAAGACATCTTCACCCAAGTACTTGGAGATCATGCGCAGCACAGACGAACCCTTGGAGTACGAAATGGCGTCGAAAATCTGGTTGATATCCTCGGCACGCTTGACAGGAACCTCGATAGGGTGACTACTACGAAGCGAGTCGAGCGACAGAGCACCCTGCAGGTTGTCGATGACGTAGGTCTGCCAGACCTTCCACTCGGGGTAGAAGCTGTTGCAGGAGTACCACGACATCCAGGTAGCAAAACCCTCGTTCAACCAGAGACCATCCCAGAAGTCCATGGTGAC